CCTTCGGGGGTGGAGGCCCCGGGGGCCCAGAGCGAGTGGACTCCCTGAGGGGGCCCATGGCGAGAAACAGGCATGCTAAGGCTCCGAGAGGTGCGGCTCCAGGAGGTGGAGGGGCCTGACCCCGAGAGAGAGTGGACCCCCGAGAAGGGCTGTCTCACTGAAAGGGGCACCCCCCACGGACCATACGGGGCCAAGAGTGGGCACGATCTGTGAATCCGTGACAGGGGGGAAAGTCAAGGGGTGAGGGTGTTCTTCAGCTAGGCTATCTCTGAGCTTCATGCAGTCACAAAACGGTGCTTTTTGTCTTTTACAATCAGTAAATGGAGTAAAATACTTGTTATAACTTTCATAAAGTATCTTTCAATGCAATCTCACCATTTTTTAAAACTTTACAGCGTTTAAAAGGTGAGGAAAGGAGTCTGTGTAAAAAAACAAGCAAACTGAAGGAGTGACCCTAGAGCCTGGCGAAGGCGGACTATAGTGCACGGAGCACTGGCTGGCCTAATTAGCCGTATCTGTTTTTAAAATGTAACGAAAGCTCCAGTTGTGTGGTTTTCCCTCTGGCGTGTTCTCTGCGTGCTCTTTTTCTTTTTAATTGAAACACGCGTGTAGACATGTGAAATAAAGGGCTCTGTCTTCATACAGACTTGTCTTTTCAAGTGTTTATTCCTTTCCAAAGTTAATATCACTTTCACTTGTATTTGTTAAAAAGCAGGGAAAGAAGCAGCCTTCTTAGCTCGGATCTGCTGGCTCACAGAGGCGGTTTTTGCTGACAGCTGCGTTGCTGCTAAAGCCTGCTGTTTCAAACTGTCCTTACTAACAAAAATGACCAGTGCGAGCCTAAAACCCAGGGGAACCTTTTTCATCACTATACATTGCTTTTATAAACAGGCTTTCTGTGTTTTTAACCCTGGGTTGTTTCTGCAGACTTACATTTTATTGAAACACTTATGCCAATGGGGCTAAATAAAAAAAGTGTCTTCGGGTAGCCTGTTTTTTCAGAGGTCTTCTTCTTTTCTAATCCTCAGGGGTGGCTCCAGGCACCAGTACCCCAAGCACGTGCCTAGGGTGGCAAGCCGCGGGGGGTGGCCTGCCGGTCGCTGTGAGGGCGGCAGTCAGGCAGCTTTCGGTGGCATGCCTGCGGGAGGTCCACCGGTCCCACGGCTTCGGCGGTAATTTGGCGGCGGGTACGCCGAAAGCGCGGGACCGGCAGACCTCCCGCAGGCCTGCCGCTGAATCCGCGTTACCGGCGGACCTCTGTCAGGCATGCCACCGAAGGCTGCCTCACTGCCGTGCTTGGGGTGGCAAAAAACATGCTAATCCATTACCTTCAAAAGGCTGTTTCAAGTGGTTCTCACTAAAAACCTTGGGGAAAAACTTTTTCTTAGCAAGGGTTTTGTGGGTTTAGGTCTGAGGTGTTTCTGCATGTTCTTTGTTATTGAAACGCCCCTATAAATAAAGGAATGTGTCTTCAGGAAGGTTTGTTTTTTCATGTGTTTATTTAATAAGTTAAAAAGAGGGGGTTTTAAGGCATTACTTTAAAAAACACATTTTTAAATGGTTTATATTATGTGTTGGTCAACTTTTGTTACAGGGTCCTGGTTGTTTAGATAAGAGCAGAGCAGGAGGCCCCTTACTTGTTTTTTTCTGGGGGAAAACGCGGGAGGGCCTCTGGCTACAGACTTTAGCTTTTTTAAACTTTTTTGTAAACAGTTTTTATTTTATATAGTAAGCTTAGTTACAGTTAAAGTTACTATTCTTTTTAGTACCAGTTTTTGGTATAATTTTGTTTTAAAAGCAGGCCTAGGACTTCCTTTTGTTATGTTCTGGCTTTCTTCTCTCTAATCACAGAGGCTGTTTTTGCTAACAAGGGCTTTGCTGCAGCGTCACAGTTTTTACTAAAAAATAACCCATGTTAGTCTAAAACCCAGGGGAAAACTTTTTGATCACTGTACATTACTTTTATAAACAGGTTTTCTGTGTTTTTAAACCCGGAACGGTTTCTGCATGCAGTGGAACCCCACTATAACGTGATCATTGGGGTCCAAAAACTTCAATCGCGGTAAATGCGGGGTCGTGTTATAGCGGGGTTCCACTGTACTTGTGTTCAGTTTGCAGCAGAGTGTGCGCCCTGGGCTAGCGGGAGGGAGGGAGCGGGGGGAGAGAGAGAAGGGGTGGCAGCCCCACCCCGCAACCCCAGCCAGACCTCCGGCCGGAGCGCAGCAGCCCCGCTCTCCCGGCCGGACCGCAGCAGCCCCACAGCCCCGCGACGCCGGCCAGAGCGCAGCAGCCCTGCTCTCCTGGCCGGACTGCGGCAGCCCCGCAGCCCTGAGACACCAGCCAGACTGCTGGCCGGAGCGTGGCAGCCCCGCTCTCCCGGCCGGACCGCCCGCTGCAGCTGCCGGGGCGGACTGGAGCCAGCCCTGCAGGGGACAGAGGTGAGAACCCCAGGGGCCCGTCGGGGCTGCAGGGAGAGTCGCTCCTGCTGCCGCCACCGGAGCATGGATCCCAAACGCCCCGTGCCCGCTGCAGCCGCTGGCGCCAGACTCGCCCTGCGTTATAACCAAATTCGCGTTATCGCGGGGCGTGTTATAGCGGGGTTCCCCTGTACTTACATTTTATTAAAACACTTGTCCCTAAGGGGCTAAATAAAAAAATGTGTCTTCATATAGGCTTGTCTTTTCAAGTGTTTATACCTTTACAAGACTTTCACCTCTCTCTTTTTTAAAAAGTCGGGGAAGAAACAAACTTCTTCTCTCTAATCCACTGGTTTACAGAATAAGGGGAATATAAACTGGCTGTTACTAAGGCCCTGGGGTTTTAAACCTGGGGTGTTTCTGCCTGCTCTATTTTATTGAAACACACCTGTAAATAAAGGGATGTGTCTTCATATAGGTTTGTCTTTTAAAGTGTTTATCCCTTTACAAGACTTAATATAATTTTTACTTGCATTTGTTAAAAAATTTGGGGAAGAAGCAGCCTTCTTATCTCTGATCCACAAACTCACAGACACTGTTTTTTGCTGAAAAAGCATGCTGTGTCAAATTGTTCTTACTAAAAAATAATCCATGTTAGTTTAAAACACGGGGGGGGGGATTTATTGTGTGTGTGTGTGTGTGTCACTCTGTGTGTGTGTGTGTATGTGTGTGTGTGTGTGTGACAGATTGTGGTCTGTGTGATTGTGTGTGTGTGTGTGTGTGATTCTGTATGTGTGACAGATTGTGGGTGTGTGACTGTGTGTGTGACAGATTGCGGTCTGTGTGATTGGGTGTCTGTGTGTGTGTGTGATTCTGTATGTATGACAGATTGCAGGGTGTGTGTGTGTGACTCTGTGTGTGTGAGACAGATTGTGGGGTGTGTGTGTGACTCTGTGTGTGTGTGTGTGTGATTCTGTATGTATGACAGATTGCAGGGTGTGTGTGTGACTCTGTGTGTGTGACAGATTGTGGGGTGTGTGTGAGATTCTGTGTGTGTGACAGATTGCGGTGTGTGTGTGTGACTGTGTGTGTGACAGATTGCTGGGTGTGTGTGTGATTCTCTGTGTGTGTGACAGATTGCAGTGTGTGTGTGTGTGTGTGACAGATTGTGATGTGTGTGTGTGTCTGTATGACTGTGTGTGAGACAGCTTGCGGGGTGTGTGTATGTGTGACTGTGTGTGACAGATTGCGGTGTGTGTGTGTGTGTGACAGACTGTGGGGTGTGTGACAGATTGCGGTGTGTGTGTCGGTGTGTAACAGATTGTGGGGGTAACTGGGTGTGTGACAGATTGTGGTGTGTGTGAGTGTGCGAGACAGATTGTGGGGTGTGTGTGACAGTACGTGTGTGTGTGACAGATTGCGGGGTGTGTGTGTCGGTGTGTAACAGATTGCGGGGGGTGACTGGGTGTGTGACAGATTGTGGTGTGTGTGTGACAGACTGCGGTGTGTGTGAGTGTGTGTGACAAATTGCGGGGTGTGTGTGTGACAGATTGCGGGGTGTGTGTCGGTGTGTAACAGATTGTGGGGGGTGTGACTGGGTGTGTGACAGATTGTGGTGTGTGTGTGTGACAGTGCGGTGTGTGTGTGAGTGTGTGAGACAGATTGCGGCGTGTGTGTGTGACAGATTGCGGTGTGTGTGACAGATTGCGGGGTGTGTGTGTGTGTGTGTGTGACAGATTGCGGGGTGTGTGTGTCGGTGTGTAACAGATTGCGGGGGGGGTGACTGGATGTGTGACAGATTGTGGTGTGTGCTTGAGTGTGTGAGACAGATTGCGTTGTGTGTGCATGACAGATTGCGGTGTGTGTGTGTGTGACAGATTGCGGGGTGTGTGTCGGTGTGTAACAGATTGCGGGGGGTGTGACTGGGTGTGTGACAGATTGCGGGGTGTGTGTCGGTGTGTAACAGATTGCGGGGATGTGTGACTGGGTGTGTGACAGATTGCGGTGTGTGTGTGTGTGACAGATTGCGGGATGTGTGTGTGTGTGTGTGTATGTGTGTGTGTGTGTGTGTGTGTGGACGGGTGTGTAACAGTATTGGCGGGTGTGTGTGTGTGTGTGTGTGTGTGTGTGTGTGTGTGTGGTACGGGGTGTGTAACAGATTGCGGGGTGTGTGTGTGTGTGTGTGTGTGTGTGACGGGGTGTGTAACAGATTGCGGGGTGTGTGTCGGTGTGT